CTTGAACTTTGTGACACACACAAGTTATCATATTTTACATGTGATGGGTATAAACAATTGTGACATTCTTATACCAAAAATAAACGGTTTCATTATACTCAAAATGTATGCACCTCACGAGACAATTAACGACGACTCACAAAATGGTTGATACTACTCATTTCATATTGTTTTCAATCGTCTCTTGTAATAGTAAACCAATTTAAATGGAATTAGATGGTCATGGGACTGTGGAAACCAACCAAAATGGTTACGATGTTTGGTTCCGCAACTCCATAAGGAGAGAGGGAGAGATAGAACCTTCTTGTTCGTGCACACACACAGTGCAAGAGAGAGATTTCTTGTTCCTGCATACACTGTCACACATACAAACACGCACACACACACGCGCACGTGACACATAGAGATTGAGAGAGAGAAGCCTAGTCATCTCACATACTCACTCTCACGTGGACTCTATCACATAGACAGTCACACGAGGCGAAGCAATCTCCGGTATCGTCTGCAACGACGGTCTCCAAGTTGGCGACCTGTGAAGCTCTGAGGCCTCAAACAAAAAGTGCTGCCCCATAACCACTTGACCGGAAATTATGTCGGGCTCCCGAGATTTCCCAGGATAATTCCCCTTCTTTGACACTCTAGACCTTATCAGTCCCTTAACCTCAGCTGTTTTCCTAAACTCTTCATAAGCCTCATTGCACCCAGCCAATTTTTCTGGCACTAAGAAATACAGCCGGCCCACTTCAAGCTCGCCGGAGTCTGGCATGATCGATTGATCTGAGCCATAGAGCACTAGTTTGTAGCTTTGATAGGAGGCTAGAACTTCTTTCACCGAGATCCTCTTCTTGAACTCGATCAATTTTCCATTCTCTTTCATAACCCAGATTTTGTTTTCTGAGAAATTTGTGCACATACATGTCATATAATTTCCCATATTCACGAAAAGGGCGCGTTTGGCAATGAGGATTGATTATGTTTAGAGACAAGCTTAGTGTGTCTTGTGCCTAGAAATTATCTCAGCTTAGGGATGTATTTATTTGAAAACATTAGTTATTCCAAACAAGTGGAGGTTTCTATAAGGACAAATTCGAGATCACAATCAAATTTAGCCCTTGATTTGGAGGTATCGGTAACAATCTTTATGGGAGGATCTTGAAAGATGCTTGAAATTAGGAAGAATGAAGAATTGGAATTAGAGTAGTTTGGAATTATGTGGAATTGAAGAGTTGAATTTGACTATTGTGAAGCCTAGATTAGATAGAAGTACACAAAAAGATCTAACTATTGAGAAAGAGTTGTTGAGTTGGGGCATGCTACTCCATGGGAGTGTGAATTTTGTTTCTCTCTGTATTGACTTATATTTACTTTCACTTTTTTTTAGAATCTCTCTTTGAAATGAAAGTAATTTCTAAATCTTTATTTTAGTACATCGAATAAGTTTAGAGAAATGTTTCTATACTTTTTTTAATGTATAGAAGATATATACTTCCCCCCATCCAGCTGTCCAGTTTAGATCAAGTGAGCCACTTATCATTTGATTTAGATCTGGCATCTCAGAGTATTTTATTTTTAATAGATTTTTATGAATTATATGAAAATGAAATTTGGTATGTGCCATTATCTCAATGGGGAACACCTAAAAAAAATATTGAAATAAAATATTTTCAATAAAATACAATAACTAAAATACCCCTGAAAATTTTAGGGGCATTTTAGTCATTTTATGTTTTTTTTTTTATATTTAAGTGCGAGGTTCTAAACAATCAAATTAGGGTGCACCTGAAAATTTTCAGTAGAAGAGGTTGTTTTGATGTCGAAATAGCCTCAAATTTATCATCTCGACCGCAAGATGCATGGACATAAGAAAAAAATGGATTTCAAGTTATGGAAATAGTGGATCTTTTAATGCATTTTTTGACCGTTAATTTTCAAGCTTTCAGAGATATGATCGATATACACTATTCTTCAAACTTTAAATTTTATAATTATATATGAAAATATATTTTAAGGCTATCACAAATATTTCCAATATTGAAACCATATTTCTTGATACTATCTGAAGGTGCCCCTTTATTTTGATTGTTTAGAGCCTCAACTCTATAGAATCCAAACGCATATATTTGTTTTATATTTTTCACAGGTGGCTGTTTAAGAGAGGATCAGACACCCGAAATTTGGTGTCAAAATGTTTTGGGAAAATATAATACTGTAGAGGCATCACATTGTGATTGGGACCATCTCTACCGTCCATTTAACGGTTGGATAGGGAAAATATATAAGTTTTATATTCTAGCCCGTAAGTTTGTCTCTCCCTAATTCCAACCCATTCCTAGACTCCAAGAAAAGTGGAAAGGAAACACAATTCTACGTCCATATCTCAAGTCCTTCCTAAATTTTTATCTCTCTTATTTTAAATTGGCATTGATTATTTTAAAATAAAATTTATTATAGTTTAAAACCTAAAACAGCTGTATATACTATAATAGTTTGTCTTCAACAATCATACTTCCTTGTTATTTTGTTGTTAAAATAACCATTAAACATACGAACCATCTTATAAAATCATCCGGATTTTAAAGAACATCCCTGATATTATAAAATCATCCGGATTTTAAAGAACAATTTGTACATATCTTGCATAAATTATCCCATACTATTTTTCTTACCGAAGGCAAGAGTAAATCTCATCTTTACCCTCCTAATATTAAATGGGAATATTTCACCATCTTGGTGTTACAATTTTATTGTTATTTTCTCAATTTCATCTTAGCATTATTAAACATCCCATGTAGTTTTCCTTTTTGAAAACCTAGGAGCAGCAATTGGGTCGGGTTGACGACAAGTCGACTGGACTTGGGTTCGGCTGGGTCCAACTTCTAGAACCGGCAAGTCAGGTTTGGGTCCAGAACTGTGGACCGAATAATCAAATTGAGTTAGGTTTGGCTGAGTCAAGGGCTAGGCTTTGTAATGGGCCATGCAGCTTGGTCCAGCCCGGCGCTCTCAAAAAGTAGGACGTGGGCCAGATTGGGTTAGGGTCAGGCCTGCCTCCGTTCGGCACGGCATAACCCTTTTTGCTTAAGTTTTTTTTGTTCTCTTTTTCATAAGGTTTGATTTGGCCTGGTCTGTCCTGTCCCTAACAAGGCTGGGGTTGGTCTTAGTCAGGGTAGGGGTGGGCTAGGCTAGCCCTATGGGGATTAGGGCCGGGCTAGGGCCAAAACTGATCCGACCCATTGCTAGCCCTTGACAAGGACGTAGTGAGTTGGTCTGAGCCAAAGTCGGACAAATCCTGACCCGATAAATCATATATATTTCAATATTAATAAGCCCGACCAGTTCCATGTCAGGTCCAGTTCTACCCACCCACCTTATCAATGTCGTATCCAGGCCGGGTCCGATCCTGCTCTGCCCATTTAGAAAATGATGAAAAGGGCCAGGGTAATACTCATAATTTATATTAGACTTGCTTACCGAATAAACAAACAGATAATGGGTGCGGTTTGTTTGTGACACCCACCTTGCTGCAACTCCAAATCATATCGAAAGATGTAATTTTTTTTTTTGTCAGGAAACTGGCAAAGGCTTAAAAATCCAATCTTAGTCATAGTTGTGAAATTTAATGCTTTATAATTGGTACATTTTATAGTCGGTACATATCAAGTAGATTTATAAACACTTGAAAATCTTGAAAATGGATGGAATATATGATACAATATAAGTTGCACTATTTTTATGATATGAGATCCTTTTATTCTCATATCCATATATCTCAATATCAAGATTTTCCAATATCAAAAAGATCTTTTCCCATGGTTTTTGAGTTTCGCCTTGTTTATATAGTATAAGGTTGGTGCCTTGTATAAATTGTTTCCTTAAACTTTTCCATAAATAATGAATCCGGTATCTATAAGGCCTAGGCTTCAAGTAACTTTGAGCATCATAAATCTCCATGATAGCTCTAAAATCAATTTTGAACACTGGCTATCAATTTTGAAGCTAAAAAAAAAACTGCCAATCTTGCAGATCTCAGAACAGCTATTTCTAGGGTGAAATAGAAAGTCTAATTAATGTGTTATAGTATACATTATTTTTTGGGCTTGAAATCCCCTTCTTTTTTTTTACATCCATAATAGTAAAGGGTAGCTAAGATGATCCAATTTAAAAGTCTTTCAACTCCGTAATTACATTTTTCATTAAGTTTTTAGATGAAGCTTTATTTACATCCTCTCATAATAATAAAAGGGAAAAGTTTAGACAGAGACAAGGTTCTAAACAGTCAAATTCGAGCCTACCTCAAAATTTTCATTAAAAGAGGTGGTTTTGATGCTTAAATATCCTCAAATTGATCATTTTGACGTCAAGATGCATGGACATGAGAAAAAAATGGATTTAAGTTTTGAAAATAGTGTATTTTGTAACACATTTTTGAAACGTCAATTTTATAGATTTTCAAGTTTTTATAGATCTCTCGATCTATAATATTTTTGAAGCTTTAAACTTTATAAATAAATATAAAAATATATTTTAAGGCCATTAAAAAGATTTTCAGTATTGAAAACACATTCCTCGATACAATTTGAAGGTAGGCTGTAATTAGATCGTTTAGAGCTTACGCTCTATACAAACCGCACCCATAATAAAAACAATTGTTTCATGGAGGCTATACCGCATTTCTAAAATATCCGATCCAGAGGTATAAAGTATCCATCTTAAAGATGGATGCAATTAGGTGGTCCATTTAAAAACAATTGTAACAGACGGTCCAAATGTTTTCTTGATATAATTATTATTTTGAATTTTAAAATTTTTTTTTTTTTATATTCATGATCTCCATGATTATATATACTCTAAAAATTAGGATTAAATTATAATTAAAAGTATATATTTCTAAGCCCGCATTTCTACATGTGCGGACTTGGCCGCAAGCTAACCGCGTTCTAATATTAACGTAAGATTTTTAATCGATCAACTCACGGCCGTGCCATGGGGGAAGCCATCGATATGAACAAATAATGACAGGGAAACAAGAGAGAGAGAGAGAGAGAGAGAGAGAGAGTTGTAGTTTAGGGTCGAGAGGTGAGTTCGGTCGAGAGGAAGACGAGAGAGAGAGAGAGGAGACGTATTCCACCTTCGGTAGAATTATTCCTGCGTGAAAAGAGCTTCATTGCCCTAGAGACATCCTGGTACTCAAATTTGTTCCGCTTTTCTATGAGAATATTGATTATTTGATCGACTTTTTACTATTTTTTTGGGGTGATAATGGTTGATTTTGATGTATTCGTGACCGAATTACGAGATCTGTGGGTTTGATCGCTTGATTATGTGTTTATAGTTTGATATGAAAAATTTAGGGTTAGTGATTGTTCTTTTGTCCAATCCCTGAGTAAAGTGCTTTGCAAGTTTGTGATTGTGTTAAATCGGTATTCAAGATGGATTCTCTGTGTTCACTTTCTCGCTTACATTAACTTTTGGTAGAAATATATGAAATTTAATGTTTACTCATCTGAAGGGATAGAAGTATGGAATTTCTATTGCTTTTTATATATTGAGTTAAGCAACCAGGTAATCTGTTACTTGTTGCCACAGCGATATAATTTTTTATGTATTTGTTAACTATTGTTGAAATTAACTCAGGATTTGTTATTTTGTGATGCAACTATGGAATCTCAGTTATTTATTTATTTATATTAATTATTTGCATGAAATAATTTATATGAATTATTTGCATGAAATAATTAGGGTTTTTACGCGAAGTTTTTTTAGGGTATGAGATCGAGGCTCTGTTGTTTGATACTTATGCAATGACTAAATTTTCTCCGAATCCGGCTCGTTTTACCTTATGTAAACACCAGTTGAAGAAAATTTTTGTTTTCACACTTTGATCTTTGGGATGTTGGCCTACTTCTCGAATTCCTTTGCTTAAACCTATTCCCCACTCCTCATCCCCTCTATCTAGACTGGTAAATTGACTGTCCTCGTTCTCACTTTGATACCTGTCTCTCTCTCTCTATCTTTCTCTCTCTCTCTCTCTCTCTCTCTCTCT